GGAAACTGTGGTTCACTGAAAACATCTGGGTTTAATTGTAACAGCCAGAGAAGGGAAGAAGGATGAGGCTGCATGCATGATGAGGCATACTTATACCTCTGCTTACTGAATAAAGATATGATCATCCAAAGGATGCCTTACATTGCAGAGTAGGACGGAGTCTTGTAAACAGTTGAACTCCAACTCTCTGCTCCCTGCAGGAAATGCAGCTAAGGCTTTTCAACAGATGGCTATCCAGCCTCTACCTGAACACCTCCACTGAGGGAGCCCACCACAGCCCAGATAACTGTTTCCACCTCTGAACTTCTCCTACAGTGAAGCCATTTCTGTATGAACATCTACTCTTATCTAATAGACTTACCCATCAGGATTAGTCCATTAGATCTAGACATGGGAGGTGATGGAGGCTCCGTCAGTGAGGGCATTCAAGGAACGATCAGACACCCGAATGTTGGATTATTATATGAGTGGAGCCAGCTTGTGCTGGGGGTCAGACTAGATGGCCCGGGAGACCCCTTCTGACTTGCTGTGTTTCTATGTTTCTAGTGCTGCCCATTGAGGTGGTAGAGAACAAGAACACTTCTGCATACTCCATCTATTATTCCAAACATGGTATTGCCTGGCATTGCAAGCACATTCTGGGTGAATCGTGGCAGAAAGAGCACTCTAGATGTGCCCAACAGGCTAAGCAATGCCTATGAACTGTGTGGCCGAACAGAGAGTCCATGCCCCAAGGCACTGCCGTAGTAGGTTCCTGGGGAAGAATCCTCCTGAACATGGAGCTTTTATACAGCCTGGTTGAAACCCATCCAGAGAACTTTGATTATTGTGCAGACAGGAAATGCACTTAATTAAAATACAAGTAGCCACAGTTAATCTACCCTAGGGCAATATCCAACATGGCTGGTGCACGCCTGCTGGTTGTGTGCCACGCAGTGGTGTATTGGAGTCAGGGATTGCAGGGCTGTAGTACTGGCACTTTTTTAGTTGCAGGAATGCTGCCACCCGTGGGTTCTCTCTGGGCTTAGCTGCAATCCTCACAGGTGGTGTGGGGACATGAATGACCCCACTGACAGTATATTATTCCTTGTTGCAATGTAAAGTATTTTGCAATGGTGTACTCTTGAATGGGCAATAAAGACCCATTAGCTTTACCAAAGACCAGCTCCTAGCAGATGAAAACTGCTAGAAGTGGGTTGTTGATATGGCTCAACACAGCTGCCTGCACTTTTTGGACTGTCCTTGGGGATGCAGCTATGAAACATGCTTGCACTTCAAAATTTATCACAACTCTCCTAGCTGCACTTATTACTTTTACAACAGGGTGTTCATGCTTTGCAAAGGAATGCTGGAAAAATAGTTTCCACATCAGGACAGGTCAGCTGAGCTCTGTTCTGAAAGCTTTGTTCCAGGAATGAGCGCTTCTGCTTATATCAGGTAGCATTCCTGTTGCCACCAGTGGGTCCCACTGTTAAGCAAGCAGCATAGGATACTGCTCAAGTGATTAAAAACAAGCTACTGCTCCAATCTCTGATATTTAGACATTCTTTTGGGGGTTTTTTTTTTTTTTTTGGTTTAAATGTCTGGGCTTCAGGAAAAGTTGGAAATGTGAAGCCCTGTTAATTCTTTACAGGAACATTGCAAGGTGAACTGAGAAACAGATGGAAAAGCTACTATTTCCAAACTTGGATGGCTTCAAGCGATGCACTTGAGGATGAAAGGCACTCAGGATTATCTAGAGCTACAAGCTTCATGAAGCCTCTACAAAACCTTGAAGAGATTTGTGAAGACAATCCAAGGCCCCAGATGTCAGGCACAATTTTAATTTAACAGCCAGCGCATCAATTACTATCAAGGACACAAGTTTAATTCTCTTGCTGCAGAATCTAGACATGATCCTATGTTATCCACACCTTTAGAAATTAGTTTTTGCTTTTTTTTAATAACTAACATCAGAAATTGACAGAAACAAATCCTAGGCCTGAAGATTACCACAAAGTGTCAGCATAAAATAGATAAGATGTCTATGTTTTAATTCACTCTGTTTTCCTCATTTAAAAAAGCCCTCATGCAATAGCCTTGTAATAAATCGAAAACCTCTACAAAATCCATAGTAAATGCAGTTCAGATATAAGGCTTTGCACATAACAACATGTCCAAAGCCTTACAGAATAACATTAGTTCAGTTGGCTGCTGCTGCAAAGTTGCTTTTATGGTTAATCTTTACGATCACTATCTAAAAGGCAGATGCTATTAGGTGCAAACTAACATCTGTCCTAGGATTGAAAATATAATCAAATGTGTGCCTGGCTTGAAGGCTTCCCATAAAACCCAAGTAAAGAACAAGATGCCAGCTTGACTTAACAGGCAGACCCTAGAGAGTAGTTTCACGGCATTTCTGCATCCATTCATACAGACAAATGCTGAATTAAACCTTAATTAAGGGTGCCATCCAATGTAGCTGCCTGTTACCTCCAAACCCAGAAGATTTTGGCCATACAACGGAGGGCAGGAGCAGCTTGGAGGTGAGCCTTGGTGCATCTCTTAGATTCTAGTTGATTTCAGCCATCCAAGTGCTTTGCACTGGCTCAGAAGGACAGGTGCCAGAGGAATGGCCAGCTTTCTTCATTCCTCCCATCCCTGGTCCCAAATGCCAGCTCTGAGTTTGGTGCTAAGATGCCAGAACTACAGCTGGTATGGAAAGAACTGTGCTGGCTGCACAGATGGAGAGAGAGTGCTCTAACTTTGCAGTTCCAGCATCTACTCTGGAGATTATGACTCTGATTCACCCTAAGACCATCTTCGACCACATCTAGCAGCCACGGGATTGTACCCCAAATCTATGTTGAATTCAACAGCAGACCTCAACTGTAAAATGAACAACTCAGTAAAAATCCTGGACCCATTTGAATAATTAAATCATTCATCTTTTCATTATGAAATATTTGCTATGACAACTACAGCAGAGCTATTTGCTTTAGGTGGGTTATTATAATAATAAATGTATGTTCCATTTTATAACTTAATTTTTATTTTAATCTTTTCTTGAGCAAGAAAATTTGTTGCAAATATGTATTTGCAGTTAAAAAGTCATGATCTGACACTATGTTTTTTCTGGCATGATCCTTTAAGCCCCAGCATTTTAATTAGCTTCCAAGGAAAATAATTATCCATGGATTTAAGAGCTACCTTAGGGCTCAGTAGTGCCAGGCTGGCATATTCCTGTTTCAAATAATAATTCTCTTTTAACATTTTTAAATTGAAACAAAATGCTTGCCAATAAATGTAACTCAAAAGCCAGAAAATTAAAATTAAAGCAAATTCTTTTGCCAGAACCTGATGCTTGAACAGATTAAGAACTATTAAAATGCTATATGACACGTTCCTTTCATGTGTTTGTCTATACTGAGATCAATAATATTATATTAAACAGTATTCTAGTAAGATTTCTTCTCCAGTTTTATAGATAAAAGTTAAGACTTTCTGCATTGCTCATGCCTGTTTCTCAGAATGACTTAGTCTAAGTGCGGAGCAGTTTCAGCAGCGAGTCATACAGTGTGACTCCAGCACTATGCTATGGTCTTTCTTTCTCACTAATTCCTATGTGGGGAGAAGCAGCTGCGTAGCAGGGACCAGTGCATGGCTGATAATGAAAAAGAACCTGCTGGATGTGGCTAATGGTCCATGAAGTGAAGCATTTGCTCTCACAGCTTCTGCGAAAGCAATAGCTCTCTCCCCTTGTTTGCTTCCTGCCGGGCAAAAGTCAGAGCTCAGGGGCGGGACCACATGCTTTGCATGTGGAAGGTCCCAAGTTCAGTCCCTGGAATTCCAGGCAGGGTGGGAATAATGTCTGCTTTAAACCTGGGAGGGCTGTGGCCATCCATGTCGACAGTACGATGGATCCACGGCCTGATTCAAGAGGCCAATTCACATGTGACAATAAGCCACCCTAAGAATAAGCTGTGGTGAGGTGGTTGCTCTCTTGCTAACCCAGGCAGTGCCGAGAAGATGTTCATTTCCCCCTTAATTCTCTGCACTTTAATGGATTGTTGCAAATCTCCCAGAAGGTCACTAAAATGTTTAGTAGTAATGACAAGCCACGAGTTCTCTGCGTAGTTTCTACATAGCCAACCATACAAAGAAAACTTTGGTAGGCTTGGTCATCACAAGGCACCCTGAAGCAAACAAGATAGGCAACACATAGAAACCTAGAAAGAGAGCAAGCCAGAAGGGGCCTCCCGGGCCATCTAGTCTGACCTCCGGCACCAGCCGACTCCGCTCACGACATGCCCGCCATGTGCATGTCCAGCCTATCTTTAAACACCCGCACCAATGGGGCCTCAACGCCCTCTCATGGAAGCCCATTCCACACCCTCGGGGTCCTAACTGTCAGGAAATGCTTCCTGGCATCTAAATGGAACCTTGGCTCCCTGAACTTTGCTCCGTTGGAGCACGTCCTGCCTTCCTCTGCAGGGGAGAACAGGTCTCTACCCATCTCCATGTGACATCCCCTCACATACCTGTATGTCGCCAACAGATCCCCTCTGAGTCTCCTCTTCTCCAGGCTGAAGAGACCCAGTTCCCTCAGTCTCGCCTCATACCCCATCCCCTGCAAACTGGCCACCAACCTTGTGGCCCTACTCTGCACTGACTCTAACCTGGCTAGATCCTATCTGTAATGAGGGGCCCAAAACTGAGCACAATACTCCAGTTGCGGGCGCACCGGAGTAATACCTCTCTCGATTGTGGGTTGTTGTGTGGAGTGCAGCTTCCTAAGTTTCTAACAGGTATTCAACCACTGAATACAACATGCAACCACTGAACTTGGAGACAACCTCTAGATAGTGTGGGTAGTAACTACCGACAGAACCCATTCTTAGTGATTTCTCTGGTGCCTTTCTAAGCTAGTGGTTATCTAAGCTGGTGCTCTTTGTTCCTTGCCACATTATATGGCAAAGATTCCAAGCACTAATTACAGGCTGTGCAAAATAGTCTGTTCCTTCTTGTCTGCCCTGAATCGAGATCTGTTCTGAATTACGCCTCTAACTTATTTAAATATGATTGCCCAGAGGACGGAACAGGGAAGAAGGAATTTGCTGATTTTAGAGAAGCTTTCAACTTTGGAGAACGTGAGTATACTCTGTTAACCCAAAACTTTTGTCTGAATTTTAGAAACAAGTTCAGTGACTTCCCCAAGATGACAAACATGTGAGAGAGGAAAGAATACAAGAGCCCAAACCATCAAGAGTCATCAGATAGACGCTGAAAGCACATACCATGTGCATATTCATGAAATCATCTGGAGTGCCTCTTGCTGTTGCGGGCATTTTCGGAACTTTTAAATGCATTTGCATAGTGTATACAAACCAGCTTGAGCATTAGGATACCTTTCGATCCTTTTCCTGGAGTGGCTTCTACAGTAGTTTTACTCCAAATAAGCAGAATCCCACCCGAGTCACCAGTGAGAACCTCTCCATTTCCTAAAAATGCTAAGCACTGGACAAATTTGGGTTTTTCATATTTCTGAAAAGGAACAAACATGCATTTAAAGGACAAATGGATTACCTGGAAACATATGGATAAGCAGGCAAAATGGGCACGCGTTCGAGCTCCCTGTTCCCAAGTTCTTTCCATTAATCTGTCAGTCACTCCAAACATCCAACAGCATCCCCCATGCCTCCCATGCTCTGGAAATGTTGGGGGCCGCCCACAACAGCATGTCTTGGGGTGCAAATGCTCAGTACAAAGTTTCTCGTACAAACTGCAGTGGAGACTGCTCCCAAAACATTTCCTTTCACTAAAGTATGTGCCATGACACTTATTACACACCACAGACATGTACAGTGAAGCCCTGGTAGTCTCTTTTTGTAAAGTCAACCATCTTCGGGAAATTAAGATTGGGTACAGAAATAGCAGGATGACAAGATCCTCGCCCCTATTCTTGTTGAGAGTTTTCTCCCCCAAATCACACATCTCAAAACTGCCTTTTTCCCCTGGGGAACTGGCATTGGAGAGATAGTATGTACCTGCATCTTCCCTGGGAGAGAAGGTGAATTAGTGGAAGAGAGAGGAGGTGGGAGCATAATTGGAAGGGGCTGAAAAGACCGTGTTATGCCAGCGGTCCCTGTCTCAAAATAGCTCTCCACCAATACTGCTTTATTTTTAAAAAGCAGCGGCTGCCTTTATCATGTGAGATCACAAGGTAATGTAAACATGTTGCGGGCAATGTTCAATTAGGTCCTACATCTACTATTTGGACTGTAAAGGGGATTAACCCTTAAATTAGCAATGAGCAAATGTGTGGCCCTCTGGATTTTTTAGACTACAACTTCCATCATCCTAAGCCTGATGAGTGTTGCTAACACCTGTAGAGCAACATTATCTGCCTCTTATGTAAATCGTGGTTAACAAAGCCATCCATTTGCATGCTTTGAAGAATCTGCTCTATGGCTTTAGGAAATCACCCAAAGTTTCTTACCCCAAATATCCCTTGCTTCCTTGTTAATGAATTACCATTCCAAGTCCAGAAAAAGATATGAGATTTGCCAGACGTTATTATTGTGTCTTTATCAGTTGGATGGAATGCTACTGCAAGAACAACTTCGTTTGTTGTCTGTTGAAACAAAAATGGGATTTGCCACTAGCAAAACACATGCTTATGCAGATAAGTGGAAGACGGAACGCTATGCACTAAATACACAATGTTATGCATGCAGATCAGTATCTCCGTTAGGAACAATTCATTCTGGTCACCAAATGTTCTCCAAGCATTTGTCTTCAGCCCTGTTCAGAGCAGTTCCTCCTATTAGATTGTTATACATTCTAGCCCATGTCGACTTCATCTCCATACAGGTATCAGAACACTCCTTTTTGGTTTAAAGCACTTTCTCTTCCATTTCTACCTAGATCATTCATATGCAGCATTTTAATAATGTTTTATTAAGCACATGTTATTCAGGGCCCTGTTCTGAAAATGCAATAAAAAGCCTCTAAACCAAACCACTGTTATTATTTTTCATTCAGTCTCTAGACAGGCATGAAGATCTATTTAAATTCTGGATAAAAGGCAACACAGCCAATCAAAATACTCCTGGTTAAAGTTCACTCTGCAAAATCTATTTTAACTTAGTACTTTTTACTAAGGAGAAAAAAGTAGTGCTTAATTTGGTGCAATTGTCATGTAGGTGAAGCCACAAAGAATTCTGTGGCACCTTAAAGACTACTATTTACACCTAAGGAAGCCTCCTGCTGTTTGGACTTCAGCTCCTCTCATCCACAGCAACACAGAGGGTTTCCAGTTAGGGAAAGCTATATTATGGCCTCAGCTTTTGTGGCCTATCAGAACTTAAACTGAACATTGTAGCATTGCAACTATATGCCCACTCACCACAGGCCCCTGGATTATGAATTCTGCTAATATCTTTTTTCTTAATCTAAACTCAGTCACATCATTGTCCTGAATGCAGGTTAGAGTCCAATCCGGTCTCAAAATTCTAATTTGTCCAACTACAAACATTTCAGGGTTGCTATTGCTTTAAAATCAATGCTTGCTCTTCTGGGAGGAGGAAACCTGTTTCCATGGGACTCAGATGAATTCTGGGGCCACAAGAAACACAGCTGAAATACAAGATGAGGCTCTGGTGTAGCTTGCTTGCCTGCTTGCTTGCTTGCTTGCAAGTGAAAACTTTAGTTTGAATCCTAACATTAAATTAATTCAAGGAAGTTCATGGAAGAAAAGCTTCCCCTCATAATCTGATCTACCAGAGAGGCTTTGGGGAGGTTGGGAAACACTAGTGTCTTCAAGGGAAGCTGTCAGAAACATTTCTTTCCAAAAACTTCCTGGAATTATCTTAAGAGCCAAGTCTTTATTCATTTTGAAAACATCATTCATTATAACATAATCAGTTATATCATTGAATTATAATAATGATATATTAATAATTTTTCTGTGAACAAAAATAAATTATCTGATTTACCTTTATCTCTGCAATTTTTGATTTCTTCTGCCAATCCCAGACAGTCAGCATGTGTTCATTAGAATCATCAATCACACACAAATGCGTACCCGAATCCTTGCAGAAGAAAGTAATAAAGTAAGTTCATGTCATCTTTCAACACAGCTACAAGTCAGACAGAACACAAACCGAAATGAAGTCTATGGAGAAAAGCCACAAATGTTTTCTCCGTTCTAGCAGCAGACTTGAATATCAAGAAATATCTGATATTTAACATTTACAATTTTATTTCATTCCAGTTCACACAAAAGAAAGACACAGAAGGAAATCTTCAGCCAGGGGTTCTCCATCACCACACAGGCCTGATTTTAACCTGATTTTGGATATGGACCAAAAACCTCCACCAGTGGTATATCTGACAGACAGCATTAAAACTAGGTTTTCAGTTACTATGTGTGCAACCTTAGCACCCCAGGGAAGCTGCTTTTGGGCTAGAGTTCCTGCAAGCATCAATGCCTCCCTAAAGTATTTGAACATCTATTCCCAAAATGTAGCAACATTTTATGATAGGTTGATAAACTGCTGGCATGGAAGTAGAACTAGCAAGGCTTCGACACAAGACATGTAGCGCCGTGACACTTGTCAGAACAGAGCTCAAACACCTGCAAACTGGTGCTCAGCATCTGGATTATATACATTGTCCCTGAAAGCAATGAATTTCTGAAAAGAATTAGGGGAAATAAAACGCCTAACATCTGAAATGCTGGAAATGTTTGATCATGCTTTAAGCAGTCAAACAAGCTACTTTTCCCTTCTACTTTCATCCACTGCAGCAACTGCTGGAGTACATTAAATATCCAAGGGAAAGGATCCACTGGAAGCACAGGGACACCATCAACTGGTGTTAAAGTACAGGAAAATTAATCTTCATTTTGAGAAACTTGAGAAACTTAATAACCTTTTCTTAGTTCAATTAACTGCAGTATTTTAACCAATGTCAAAATACATTGACATTTGTTGGCACAGACGTCAAACAAACGTTTACACTAAAAATGCTGCTATGACCAATATTTGAACCACTCAGACCAGACAGCTGCTATTCAAGGAAACAGAACGGGTCAGTCCTGAAATGAGCCAAAATGCAAAGTAAAGAGTTTTATTTCCTCTTTAGGTAAAGATTCAAGCCCATCTTCAGGAAGACTAATCCAGTGTCTTGTTGCTCACTAAGATTATTTTAGAACCTCTGCAGTACTTTTAATTTTTTAAAATTTCAAACTAAGATACAGCCAAAAATGCTTACAACTAAAGTAGAAACGTATAAAATGAATATACAATTAAAATAAATCTTAAAAATACTGTTCCCACCACCACCAGGGCCATAGGATGCATGTTACAGATAGAAAACTTGTTCAAACATTCTTCAGGACATTTCCCCCTTCCCAAACTGCAATGATTCTTTTGACAGTTCAAATCCTTTCCCTTTTTTTTAGCACACACTCAATACATGCAC